TGCCAAAATAGATATCAAGGTTTAGTACCTAGTCATAGTAGCTGAACAGACAAGAACCTTCAGATTAGAAGTCTCAGAGGTACCACCAACTAGGCTGCCAAAATAAACTAGAGGCAAAAGATATTGAACTGACCTGATATATTGATAGACTGATCATAATTCTACACAGGCTATCTGAATTGAAAGTTTGATAAAAAGACAGAAGAAAAGACAGAAATATATTAAAATACTAGAATTATGCTGTGAAGTAAATGCTAGAGTTTAAGTAAACTCTATAAAGACACAGCAGTTTAATAGTTAAGCTCTGATCACAAGTATTAGTTCTGCTATAATAATATCTAGGCCAACTATAAAAATAGATACAGAAGGCTTTAGAGTGTTTATCTTAAGAATAAATTAGTTCTAAGATTGAAATAATGATCTGAATATCTGAGTATGTTTCAGTGAATTAATACAAGTTATAGGTTCAGAAAGTTTAAATTAAAACATCCAAATAAAAGTGTTAAATATAGCAATTAGAAAGGAACTTTCAGGCAGACTTCTTAAATAAGTAATATAGAAAAGTTATATGTATAGCCAATTGTATGTTCTTTTGTAGTAGTTAATTAAACTACAATACTGATAAATGATTAATAAAAGTCAAAAAGATCAAAGAAATCATTTTAATACAAAAAAAAAATAAAAATTTAACAAATATATTTAAAATTGTATAAGATAATATAATCTGACAAATTTTTTTTATTATATTATTTATAATTGTCAGTATATGAACATACAGAATAAGATGTAGTGACCTAATGAAGTGATCAGGTTGTCAACCTTCAAGTGATAAATCTAAAGTTCAAATCCTATAAATAACAAAATTTAAAAAATAGGTCTATATTATAGTAATTGTTTCTGTCAATTAGTTGGATTAGTATATTTGTTATCTTCAGTTGCACTATTTTGAATAGGAGCTTAGAACATTTATATAAAATGTAATGTTATATCTACATAAAGGGATGTTAATAACTGTGTTGATAAAACTTTAGTGCAAACCCATAATAAAACCACTGGGCATAGAAAGTGAAGGAACTAAAGAGTTGAAAATCTACTTGGAAATCTCAAGTAAGAAGATAGTACAAAACTTTTGACAATGCTGTCAGACTAATAGAAGCTTATAAAACATCTCAAAAGAATAGACAGATAAACTGAATAGCAAGATGTGTAAAAGAGCATATGACTAATCAGGTTGCCAGAGTTATCAAAAGAAAAGAATGCTAAGGTATACTATACTGGGCTATCTGAATTGAAAGTTCAAGAAGTCTTGTTAGTCCTAAGTACCAGTTAGTAAAAAACAATAAAAAAAACATTAAAAAGATAGATATTAGGGTTTTGAGTAAACCTTACAAAAGTAAAAGTAGTTTAATGGTTAGCCCTAATTGTAAGTAATAGTTTAGACCAAAATAATATCAGGTAAGCTGTAAGTATAAAATACAGAATACACTAGTAGTTTTAGTACAAAGTTAAACATGACTTAGTAATCATAACATAACTTCATTAGTTTACCAAAGTTATTAGTAGAATGTAATGGATATGAGATCAGAGTGTTTAAATAGAAAACCTGCAGGTAGGTTCTAGATATATCAACTAGTGTAAAACCTTTAGGTAAACTACTTAAATTAGACAATAACTAAAGTTGTATAAGTGGCTAGTTGTACACTCTTTCTATGATCACCTTTGCACTATTATGTCAATAGATGCTGGTTAACTAATACTACTAATAAAATTCTAGGTTATATATACTTATTTTAACATTAAAAAAAAAGAACTTACAGGATTAGCAGATCTGCATCATTTAATATATACAATATTATACAAATAATAGCAAGACTAAAAATTTTAAATTGGTAAATTTCAATTAAAGTATAATAGAATTTAATTCAAGTTTAAAGACTTTTAGATCCTGCAAGTTATTATTGTAACTTTAATAATATTCTTTTACTTAAAATAAGTATTTTCTGCTAGTATGTTGTCTTGTACTAGTGCCTTAATTCTATTTTCTTTTGAATTCAGATATACTAATTATTTTTAAGTTACATACTTATGTAGTTATAATTAATTTTGAATTATATATATATATATGTATTGTATTATTAATAGTTTAATTAATAATATAATTATTTGTTTAATATAAAGAAAGTTGATTACTAATACAATCTCTCTTTATTTAGAACAAAATAATGATTACAGGTCTAAAATAAGTTATAAAAACAAGATAATATGATTTTCTAATCAATATTTTTTAACTTTAAACATTAACTAAATAGTTTTACTATATACTCTTTAAAGTTAAAACTTTAAGAGTTTTTGAATTACAAGAGTTATTCTTTATTTAAAATAATTTTTGTTACTTATATACAGTATATACATCTATTTTTACAAACTAAAAATCAATACTTATTTTTTTTATTACAATTATCTTTTTTTTATACTTTTCTTAACTATTTGTTTGAAATTCTTTTTATACTAATTTTATGATTTTACTAATTTTGTTATTTGTTAAAGCTACAGTAATTTTCAGAAATAACCTACTATATACATATATATATATATATATTATATAGTTAAAATAACTATAATATTATAACATAATTAAACAAAATTTATTTCAAAATTTTTTCTAATATATACCGTAATTTGCGACAAATAGTACCCCTTTGTTAGTATACCCCCTACGATTTGTATCAGGGATTAATCAAGTATATGTCATAAACATAATTGTAAAAGACCCGAGTATATCTAAAACATATATTGATTGGTTAAAATTTTTGAGGCTCTGATTGGTTCTAATTTATAAATAAACTTTCGTCTCAAGTTGTAATCTTAAATATACTTTATATTATTCATCGATTTAATTATCTGTTAATAAAAAAAAATCAATTTTTTTAATAAAAAGTTTGAAATATAAGCTTTCAAACTCTACTAAAAAATGCTACGTTTTTAATATTTGGGGTATTATGGTGCACTATGTTTACTATATGCTTTGTATTGTATTACTGTATCCTTTCTCTAGACATTTCCCAAATGAGGAAATGTATAATAAAAATTAAAAGAAACCTAATACTGGCATAAGTAATATCGATCTTGTGGTTTAGCAATTAGAATCAAAAAAATTTATATTATTTGATTCGTCCCAATAAGATGAATTGAATGGTACTAAAATATCATCAAAAACATGAGTGCGTCATAATACCCACCTGCGTCATAATACCCTACTCTCATGTTTTATTCATTATATAAAAATTAAATTAATAAAATGTAGTTTTTTTCAATTTAAAGCAAGTATATATGTTTGAATGCCTTTATTAGATTTGAATTTCTAAAAATTTCTAAAAATTTCTAAAAATTTCTAAAAAAAAAAAAAATGATTTTTTTTTCACTAAGTTGGTCTCCAGACCGTCTAAATTTGTTGAAATTTTTTAATGCCAGTAGTTGGAATAGTTCTCTACTTCCAAATCATTATAATGCTCATTAAAATTTTTATCTCCAAAATCTAAAATAAGTTCATTTTCAGGAGATTGACCAGGGTTTTTATCATTATCACAACTTCTTATCGATTTATTTGACCCTTCATAGTTTCTATCCGATTCACTAGACCCTTCATGATTTTCAACCGATTCACTAGACCCTTCATGATTTTCAACCGATTCATTAGAATTTTCATAATTTTCTTCCTCACCAAAGATATAAGACGTAGAACTGTTCACTTTTAAGAAATTATAATCAAAGATTTGTCTGTCTTCAGAACTGTTACGATTATTTGAAATCCCACAACACTTAAATGCATGTCGAATAAGTGTTGGATCAATGTCATCCCAAGCTCTTTGAACCCATTGTGCAATAACGTTGTAAGCAGGCTTCTGAATTCGTCCCATGGGTGTTAGCTTCTTGACTTCTTCATTCATCCATTTACTATAAAACCTATGAACCTGTATATATATTAAATAATCAATGCTTAAGTTGTAAGAAAAAAAATTTTCATACAAATTCTATAGCTGATAGTCATTTTTTAATAATTCTCCAATATTCTTAATAAATAAATATCTGATGCATTAGTAAATAAAGATGTGACCACAATATCGTAATTGATCATAATTATAATGAATTACTGCAAATGCCGTAATTCATTATAATTACGACCAATTACAATATTGTGATCACATCACTATTAGTGAATTTACCTTGTCCTTAAAGGATTTATTTATAGCGACGTCCAATGGTTGCAATCGTGAAGTTAATCCGCCGGGAATTACTGCCAAGTCAGTTTTTTTTTCTTTAAATCATTGTTTAACTGAATCCTCAATATGACCACGAAATGAATCAAGCACTAACAAAGAATGTGGATCAACAGAACGAGGTGCACAGTGTTTTCCACACATTCTCAATCCAAAATAACATTTCATCAATGTTCATCCAACCTTTTTGATTAGTTCTAATTTTTACTCCCATTGGAAATTCAAGCCGTGGCACATTTTTAAGCTTAAAAATAATTAGCGGAGGTAATTTAGAACTGTCTAACATACAACCAAGAACAACTGTAAAATTCAATTTTTTATATCTACAGGTTCTGATACTAATAGTGCAGGCACCAGTTTCATCAATTGTAAAGTTGTTTGGCAAGTCAAATAAGAGTGGTGTTTCGTCCATATTGCCAATTAAATTTAAAGGATATTCATGTTTCATTCGTTGAAAAAGAACAAAACTTAAAAATTCCTGCTGCTTTTCATCATAGTCTTCAGGTAAATGTTGTGAGACAGTGGTGCAGTGTCGATTACTCAAATTATAGTGGTTCATAAACCCATCTAACCATTTATAGCTCCATTGAAAAGTTGAAATATCAGGATATAGTAATAAAAACCTTTGTGTTCATGCCAAAGTTTTTGCTTTAACTTGGACCATATTGCATGTAACTACTTTAAGTTTAGCTCGCAATGCGCGTATCCAATTATTTAATTCAACTTCTAGTTCAGGATACTTTGGGCGAGGGCCAGTATTTAGCCGGCGGATATGTGAATGTGTAAGCATCAACTCATTTTTTTTTGAACGCCAATCACAAAACTGCTTTGGTTCAATTCCAAATACAAGTGAAGTTTTACGAATACTTGCCTAAGTTCTTTCTTGATAGGTTATTGCAGCGATTTTCTCGCATGCATTCCAAGTACGCCGTTTTTTTTGTGTAATTGTCGAACGTGCAATACTGGATTTAACTCTTGCCATGTTTTAATGTGTAAAAAAAATGTACCTTTTTTTTTTAAAAAAAAAGAAAAAAAAAAGCGTGTTCAAGTATTTTCACATTTAGAGACCTTACCCAGGTCAGAAAATAATGACCCAGGTGGGTCAGATGTTTGTCCAGGTTATGACCCAGGTCAACGGGTCATATGAGAATGGACTAGGAAAACCACTATCTGACACTTGCTTTCAGATAGGGGTTTTTCTAGTCCATTCCCCATTTAGATTTTCATATTATTTAAACGTGCCATCGGGATTAATATATTTCTTCCGTTGGTCTTTTTCAGTTAGAAATTCCATCTTGTTAACACTTCTTTCTAATTCTTCTCTGGCTTGTTGCTCATTCCTGCCAGTTAACAATAAGACTTTCATTCATTTTTTACTATATTTTCCTGTTAAATGTTTGGCTTTTTCCTTTTCTTTACAAGAGTGGCAAGAGATTTTGTTGTGTTGGCATTCATAAATACAGAAAATCATCAGGTTTTTTAAATTTTAAGTTGGCGTAACCCTCATAAAAAGTTGATGTAACGACTTTTAAAAAAGTTGGATCTCTCTAAATGGGGATAATACACCAAACATATAGTTTACAATCAGGGATTTGTAAAATTTGGATTTCATTTGTAGAATTTGGAATTGCATAGATAAAATCCAAAATTTTCCGAATCTAACATTAAAGTTTTTTTAAGAAATGATTTAAAACGTCAAGCAATATACGTATTGAATTTAGTAACATAACAGTTATTTAATTAGATAGATAGTTAAGTCAGGTGGTAAACACACTAGATAAATTATTAGAATTGAACCCCAAATGCATTTTAAAATTCAACATATACAGTAATATAAAAAAATATAATGAAGTATATTTAAATATATCATTAAAATTTGAACCAACTAATCTGTGTACATTAAAGACTTACTGAACAATGGGCAGGTATAAGAAACCACCTGAAGATTTAAATAAGTATTAGAATCATGTATATAATGAATATTGTGTACACACATACTATTTTTTTTTAAAAAAAAAGATAGTTAAATACTTATCATTAGAAATAAATTGCGATAGCATTTCTGGGCTGACATTGATATCTGAATGAAAGTGTGTTCTAGTTGGTGCGATAAATAAAAATGCATTCTATATAGTAAATTATAATATGTCTTCTACCTATACAGTTATATGTATAATAATATATCTGTTTTTTATTTATAAGCAAATCGCATAATATAGCATTTTTAGTAGGTTTTTGCTTATTTTGAATTCTGACCCGTTGACCCAGGTCAGAGCAATTTTCGACCTGTGACCCGTCAGGTCGGGTGACCCGTACGGGTCGACTGACCCGAGTAACATCTCTATTTGCGTTTACTTAAATGATTGGCTAATTTTATTAGGTTTAAAGTATCCCTTTACATAAACTCCCCTACATAAAATACCCTCTACCTGACAAAGTACCTACTGGGTACTAATCAAAATTTCACCCCTAGGAATGTAAGAGATCCGGGGTACTATTTGCCGCAAATTATGGTAATTTTTAGTTGTCTTTCATAAAACAGCTCCAGAATGTATTTCATTGTTCTTTTAGGTACTTTGATCCTTTGCATTGCTAGTTCTAAACTCTCAAGTGGAACTGAGTCGAATGCTTTTTTCATATCTTGTAGGAGTATCCATACTTCTTTACTCTTCTCTTTTGCTTCTTCCATTATCATATTGAG